AGCAGCCAGATAGTATGGGTAACTTATTTGTTATGCCATTTATTTAAAATATTCTGAATAGGTAAATCCATAGATGCAGAATATAAATTCATGGTTGACAGAAGTTAGTGGAAAGAATGGGGCTGGGAAGGTGGCTCAGTGGTAGAGCGCTTGCCTTGCATGCTCGAGGCCCTGGGTCCGATTCCTCAGCACCACATAAGCAAAAAGAAAAAATCCGGAAGTGGTGCTGTGGCTCAAGTGGTAGAGCGCTAGCCTTGAGCTGAAGAACTGAGGGACAGTGCCCAGGCCCAGAGTTCAGGCCCCACGACCGGACCCCCCCCCCAAAAAAAAAAAAGAAGTTAGTGGAAAGAATACAAATGGAACTCTTCGAGGGAGGTAAAAATGTTCTAAAAACTGACTGTACAACTGTGTAAAATATAGCTAGACTAATAGATTAAGAGAACACTAAAAATTACTAAATTGTACCCTGTAAATGGGTGAGTTCTGTGTGTGTGTGTGTGTGTGTGTGTGTGTGTGTGTGTGTGTATAAATCTCTGAACTAGACTTAGAGAGAAACAAAAAACTAAATAACTCACTGGAACCAGTATCATCAAAACATCTTTTTTTTTTTTTTTTTTTGTCGGTTGTGGGGCTTGAACTCTGGGCCTGGGCACTGTCCCTCAGCTCTTCAGCTCAAGGCTAACATTCTATCACTTGAGCCACAGCACCACTTCCCATTTCCTGAGTAGTTTATTGGAGATAAGTCTTGCAGGGCGCAGGTGTCTCACTCCGGTAATCCTAGCTACTCAGGAGGCTGAGATCTGAGGATTGAAGTTCAAAGCCAGCCCGGGCAGGAAAGTCCGTGAGACTCTTATCTCCAATAAACCACTAGAAAACCAGAAGTGGCGCTGTGGCTCAAGTGGTAGAGTGCTAGTCTTGAGCTGAAGAGCAGGGTCAGCGCCCAAGCCCAGAGTTCAAGCCCCATGACCGACAAAAAAAAAAAAAAAGTGTCATGGACTTTCTTGCCCAGGCTGGCTTTAAACCTTGATCCTCAGATCTCAGCCTCCTGAGTAGCTAGGATTACAGGCATAAGCCACCAGCACCTGGCTCATCTAAACACCGTAAGTTCAGTTGTTAAGATCAAGATACTTCCAGTGGGGCACATATGGCTCATGCTTATAATGCTTGCTACTCAGGAGATTGAGTTCTGAGAATCATGGTTTAAAGCCAACCCAGGCAGGAAAGTCCATGAGCCTCTTATCCCCAATTAAGCTCAGGGATAGTGCCCAAGCCGAGTTCAAGCTCAAGACTGGCATGAGCACATGTGCATGCACACATACGTACACACACACAGAGTCATGCAAGTATTTTAAGAAAGTTCTGTTCAGTATTATATTTTAGATGATCTTCTATGTTCACTATTCTGAATGGCAATAAATAACTAGTCTACTCAAAGTTATACTGTACATATTGATACTGCCTTTAATGAAAGGAAGATATAAGTTATTAAATTAAAAAAACCCTAATTCTCAGATTGTAGGTGCATATACCTGTGATCCTAGCTACCTGGATGCTGAGATTAGGAGGATCGAGGCTGGAGGCCAGTTCAGGCAGAAAGGGTCCTCCAGATGACCTCTCAGTGAAGAGCTGGATGCAGTGTCACATATCTGTCATGTATCTACCAGTCAGCCAATACAGTTGTGCACAGTCCAGTTGTGCACTGTGGACAGGAAATGAGACCCTATCTCAAAAACAACCAACAAAAGTCAGGAGGAGAAGCAGAAGAGTAGTTGAGCAATAATAGTGCTTGCTTAGGAAGGGCAAGACCCTGAGTTCAAACACTAGTATCACCAAAACCAAACAAACAAAAGACCTCGTCCCTTTAAGACTATGTTATCTACTACACTTGTTTTCAGACTGGACTTCTTGTTAGCCATGGAACTCAGTATCTTTTCTTATATATTTCTTAGCACCCCTCCCTCCACAAACTTACCTCTTAACCTCAAGCTCACAGCTCAACCAGCTGAGATCTCACAAACTATGCAGAAGTGAGAACATCAAGTTGTATTCTGACTAACTCTCCTCAAAACAACCTGGGTTTCACAGCAAGAAGGACTGGAGACAGTCAAAAAGTATAAAATGGTAACAGCTGTTCCTTGCCTCAAGAGAAGAGATAAAACAGTTGCCGCTAAGGCTGAATCTATCCATCAGTTAAAATGTTAACAATCTTTATCACATGTATTGGGAAGATAACCTTACCTGAACTGAATCATTAAAATCTATCAAATAAGTTAAGACTTCATTAATTGGTGGAAGTAAGCTTTAAAAATTAGGAGTTACTAAACTACACTTTGTGGTGTTGTTGGTTTGGGATTATTTTGCTGGGGAAGGGGGCTGAACTCAGGGCTTTCAAGCTTAATCAGCTAGTGCTCTACCACTTAAGCCATGCCTCTAGCCTGGCTTTTGGCTAGTTATTTTGGAGATGGAGTCTATTGTGGCCAGCTCTGAGCTGCCATACTCCTAATCTCAGCATTCTTGGGGGTCCAGTCATGGGCCTGAACTCTGGGCCTAGGCGCTGTCCCTCAGCTCTTTAGCTCAAGGCTAGCACTCTACCACTTGAGCCACAGTGCCATTTCTGACTTTTTTTTTCTGCTTATGTGGTGCTGAGGAATCGAACCCAGGGCCTCATGCATGCAAGGCAAGCGCTCTACCACTGAGCCACCTTCCCAGCCCCCTAATCTCAGCATTCTGAGTAGCCAAGTATAAAGAGAGCTATCAGCACCCAGCTATTTTATTTATTCATTTATTTATTTATCACTGAGCTATATCCTTAGCCTGAAAAGCTAAGATTCACTTAAAAGGCTTGAAGTCATAACTATTTTCTTACAATAGCAAAGAAACAGTTACACTCTGAGAAGAAACAAACCCAGGAGGAAAAGTATCAATGAAGTAGAAAAGGAGGGTTTGATTAGGATATTTAACTATTCAAACAAAAGTAAAATTTAAAAGGGCACATTAGGAAGACTTCAATGCCAAAACTCTCAGGAGGATTAGAATCTAAGGAGCAAATCTAGCAAGATTATCTGTTCCACATCAAACAAAACCTGACACCTCCTCCTGGCCAAAAAGCTATTTTGTAATTACCAGAGGAGAAAGCAAAACAAAGGGAAATATCCAACAGAGAAGCCCAAAGCACAGAATCCCTAGGCAAAGAGCTTGGAAACCTAATATCCAAGCAACGCAATTCATAAAGAAAACTAGGAAGAAGAGTTCCAATGAAATGGAAAAACCATTTCCATTCCATAGAAGTGGAAAATAAGGTATGAAAAACTTGAGATGAGATATTCACTGTAAATGTCACTTGAACAGAAATTGACATAGAAATCAAACTTGCAGACTTCCTAACTGGCTCAAACCCAGCCCTACACTTTCCTTTTGAAGCTATATCCAGATGTTTCTAATAGATAACTACATGTACCACCATATAGACTGTGCATTGCTGGGGAATATGAATGTGGTGCTTCATTTGACTCAGATGAAAACAGTGTTTAGTGAGTGTCTTGAACAACAATTTGATCCTAGATTCTTTCCACCAAGGTACAGGTGTCCTAACCTTTCTGGGCCTCAAATTCCTAACTGTAAAATATGAGAGCAACCCAGAGAGGAACCAGTGGTGACATTGTCCAAAAAGAAATGTACTCTTTACCTGACTTATATTACTGTAACCCCTCTGTACAGCACCTTTACAATTTTTTAAAAAATTAATGTGGGAGCCAAGCTAGATGAGATGAACTACAGGATCCTCTCCACTCTAGAAATTTGGTTATCTAGTGATAGAACCATTTTCAAAGGTTGCTCTGAGTACAAACCACTGACGTTCACACTGTTATTCCAGAGCTAACCACAGGGAGGAGCGAAAAATTTGAGAAGAAAAAAAAAATCCCAAGGGAAACAGTACTTGGCTATTACCTGAAACCCGTGGATAAATGCTGAACCTCAGACATGGAGCATTTTCCCTTGGCTCATCTGCTTAGACCTCACAACATTTTTACACACACACACACACACACACACACACACACACACACACACCACACACACACACACACACACACACACACACACACACACACACACACAGTCCCCTTTTCTTTCATTCCTCCCACAGTTTACCTTTTCTTCTTTGGAGTTTCACATCTATTCAATATTACTCATTTTCATTCACATGTGTCCCCCTCATTTCTTTTATCCAAAGTAAAATCTTAAAAAGAAAAAGTTCTTAGGTTCTGAGGATAAAATTGATGCAATGACTGTGAAAATCAAGGAAAGCAAACTACAACAAGCAAACAACAATTACTAAGTTTGCGAGAGAGGAAAAATACCAAGCGTAATAAAAATAAATGTGATTTATGTTTTCCAAAGGTCTCAAAAGGCCCTTAGATGAGAGGCCATAGGAGTGACAATTCTTGGAGATTAGGCTAGCCCCTCTGAAATTAACAGGCGATGCTCAAGGACAGGCAGATAGGTGTCAGGAATGGGAAAGAGACTTATTTGCTTCGGCTTCCTTTCACTGTCAAGTTTCACATCCAAAGAGGCCTCCCACCTCACAGACTTGAAAAATAAAGTCACTGCTATCTCTTCGGCTCTTCCCCCCCACAAATAAACGAGTAAATAATCCCTCTGCCCGTCTTCAGCCCGACACTAACCCTCACACCGCTTACGAGTCCGAAGGGCTGTCCAGGCAGCAGAGGATGGCGCGAAGGCGCCGGGAAAGGGCAGTCAGTGGGTGGAAGGTGCCGCTCCCCACATGGCAGAGCCCTCGCTGCCCCTGGCCGTCGGCCCCAGGTCCCCCGACACCCGCTGCTCCCTCTCCGGCCCCGACCCCGCGCTCGCTGCGGCCACCGACCGCGGCCTCGGACTGCCGCCTCGACCCTTCCCCGGGGAGGACCCCATCCCCCGCACCCCGCTCCCGCCAGGTTCCCGCCGAGCTGCGGCCGGCGCTGGAGCCCCTGCCATCTCACCTCCATGGAGACGCGCCAGCCTTGCATGGCGGAGAAGCCATAGGGCAGCGGGAGGCGCGGGGCCCCAACGCCGTCCCCGGAGCACTTCACCGTGTTGGGCTGGGAGAGGTAGGCACCCATGGCGGCAGCGGCCCAGCGGCCTCGGGGAGCAGGCGAAGCGACGGGGCGCGACCCGAGCCGGCGCCGGCGCCGGAGCTCCCGGGGCGCGCGTGGCAGGAGCAGGCCCGGCTGCTCGACCGACGCAAGGTGCCGGTGAAAGGCGCGAGGCCGGGCCAGGAGGCGGTAACGGGACAGGAGCTCAGAGGGAGCGGAAGCGGAAACAGTGCCGCTCCAGACCCCGCCCGGCCCGCGCGCCACTCCGTAGCGCAGCGGGCGGTCATTTCCTTAGCAACTCGCCCCGCCCGCGGGGACAACGGCCCGCCCAACTGTCCTCCCGCGAGACTTGGCGCGCCACGCCCACCAACGGACGCGCTGCGGGCCGCGTGTGGCCCGCGGCTCGGTGGTCCCGGCGTCCACCCGCTAACCTTGGCCCGGCTTCCCAGCCGTGGCCTCTCGGAGACTTTTGTCTAGAACCCCTTTGGTGTCGATCGGTTCTGCAGTGTTGTCAAACCTCACACACGCGCGCGGGCACACACACACACACACACACACACACACACACACACACACGTGTGTCCTGAGTAGCCGGGGCTCTTGTGAGGCCCGTATGTGGAAAAAATATACATCTTTTCAGAAAAAAGGGAAATGAGGACTTGAGTTGATACAGTGTAGAAACGGGCCGTCATTGGAGTTGATCCAGTGTCAGTCAACATTGTATCTCCTGTAGGCGTAATGTAGATCAACATTGTATCTGTGGGTCTGTGCTGTGAGTGGAGTCGATACAGTGTAGACACGTCGGGTGCAGTCGGCCGGTGGACCGGGAGCGGCGGCTCGGCTGATGGGCAAGACCAAGCCCTCCCGAGAAAGCGCCTGGGCATTGCCTTCTGCCCGGAGAAGGGGGAATGGAGGGTGCTGCCTGGTTGGAGGAGAGGGGAGGGGATGTATGCTGCTATGCTGTGTCTGGGAGGATTGTTGAAGCTGGCTGGCCTCGTGGGAAAATGAGCCTAAGGAGTAACAGCAAAAAGATGGGTAACTCGGACTTCATAGTCGTGCTGGTGTAGCCTAAGATGGCTGGTCTAGTCTTTGTGTTCAGTGTGCCCTGGAGAGAGGGAAAGGAGTGTAACTGATTGAAGGGCTCTGAACCTGAGCATGAGATGGGCTGGGACAGATGCTGGCGGGAGGTAGTAGACAACTCGGGCAGTAACAGATCCTGCAGATTTAATAGTAGATTGAATTCGGGAGGTGGAAGGGAAAGGAGAAATTCACCAAGATTGATTCATTCAAAATTCAGACTCATTGTGGCTTTTTTCCTCTTGCTACTCTGATTGTGTAAGCATCTTTTTTTTTTTTTTTTTTGAGGAGGGGGGGAATGTATGTGTGCATATACTGGAGTTTGAACTCAGCATTTTGCACTCGGTTTTCTTGCTCATGGCTGGTGTCCTACTACTTGAGCCAAGCCTTTTGTCTTCAATATCCTGAATTACTATGATACCACTATAATGGATTCTAAACCACTATTGATGTGGTTTAGAAGACCCTTCCTACCTGAAGGGAATTTGAGTATATCTCCCCATTGCTCCCATCTCAGTGTTTCAGCATTATGACTGTGCTTCTCCAAAGCCATGCTTAACTTCACCCATGGAACATACCTCTCCACCCATCCATCTTACTTGTAAGTCTATCACTTCCTCTGGGCAGTCTCTAATATCCCTATACTAGTCTGGATATCCGTTTTTCTTTCCTGATTGTGTCTTCAACATCCCTAGCACAGTTCTTTTCATGCTCAGTATTTAAATATCATGAAGGTTTTGACCTTAAATACCAAAGTTTGGTAAAGCCAATAAACAGTCTCTCTAGCTTTTTCCCCTAAGTCTTGAATGTGACATTGTGAAAAAGCATGAATTTTGCCATGTAAGGTATTTCACAAACTACTTATTCCCTCTCAGGCTGAATTTCTCTTCTATAAGACAGTAATCTTCAAGGTCGCCTTAAAGTTAAGAAGAGGTGAGGGCTGGGAAGGTGGCTCAGTGGTAGAGTGCTTGCCTTGCATGCATGAGGCCCTGGGTTCGATTCCTCAGCACCACATAAGCAGAAAAAAAAAAAAAGCCGGAAGTGGTACTGTGGCTGAAGTCGTAGAGTGCTAGCCTTGAGCTGAAGGGCTGAGGGACAGCGCCCAGGCCCAGAGTTCAGGCCCCATGATCGGACCAAAAAAAAAAAAAAAAGAAGAGGTGAATGCACAGTGCTAACATCTCAGTAAATGTTGCATTAACAAATGACTGCCATTAAGTATTTAGGTACATATGCTAAAATCTGGAGTGGGAATCACATAAAACAAAAAGTAGCTGGATGCCAGTGCTCACGCCGCCTATAAGCCTAACTACTCAGGAGGCTGAGACCTGAGGATCAAGGTTCAAAGCCAGCCTGGGCAAGAAAGTCTGTGAGATTCTTATTTACAATAAACCACCAGAAAATCGGAAGTGGCGCTGTGGCTCAAGTGGTAGAGGGCTCACCTTGAGCTGAAGAGCTGAGAGACATTGCCCAGGCCCAGAGTTCAAACCCCATGACCAAAACAGACAAACAAAAAACAAGTAGTAAATGGAGTGAAACAAAAGGAAGAAAAAAAAAGACAAAAGGTGAAAAAAAATGATGCAAGGAAAAATGAAGAACTGAGAATAGCAGCATTACAGAGATACTAAGGGGCTCATGGAGATGGGCACAAACAAATTATCCCATTTCTGTCTGTATCCCTCTTCCCTCCCAAACCACTTTAGTAGGGTCTAGGGTGTGGCTCAGTTGAAGGAAAGCTTACCAAAAGAATAGTCTCTTTTTATTTTCTCTCATGAACTGCTTTCCTTTTGCTTCTCATGAGGCAAAAGAGAAAGTACTAGTATCTGTAATCCTAGCTTCAAAGGGTCAAAAATGGAACTGTGGCTCAAGTGGAAGAGTGCTGACTATCCTCGAACAAAAAAGCTCAGGGGACAGAACCTAGGCCCTGAGTTCATGCCCCAGAACAGACACAAATAAATAAAAATAATAATAAGGGAAGAGAAGGTACTTTAAGCTGAGCATTATATCTAGCTCAGTAGTACAATGCTTGCCACCCTGAGTTCAATCCACAGTGTACAAGAGAGACAAAGGATGGGAGAGAGGAAGGAAGGACAGAAAAAAAGGAGGAAGATAAAGAAGGAAAGAGAAGGGAAGGAAGGAGGAAGAAAGGAAAATCATAAACTCTTGTCATATATTTCAGAACCATGGGAATTCAAGGGACCCTCATGTGGACAATATTGCCTTAAAAGCTAAATATTCTAGAGTATAATGTGACACAAGTTCAACTGTGTATATGAATATAAATTCAGATCAGTCAGAAGTAAAAAGTGATAGTCCACCTGATTCAAAATATGCCGATATACTTACATATATTTCATATATTTATCACATGAAGGTTGAAAGCTTTGAGTGTATGCACACAGATGTCAGTTTTGGCCTTGAACTCAGTACCTTGCGCTCTCACTTGGCTTTGTCACTCAAGGCTGATACTCTTCCACTTGAGCTACACCTCCACTTCCAGCTTCCAGCTTTTTTTAACTATCTAATTGAAGAAGAATCCCCTGAATTTGTCTGCCCAGGCTGGCTTGAATGAGGATCTTCAAAATTTCAGCCTCCTGAGTAGCTGGAATTACAGGTGTAAGTTATCAGCACTTCACTTAAGGAAATAGCAGTTTTGATAGTATATTCTTTCCTGTTGATCCAAGAAGATAATCAATCCCAGTGACAAGAAAGATGGAATACAAATACTTTGAAGTTATTAGGAGAGATGGAGAAAGTCCAGTTTGAGGTTTGGGGCTAGTCTATCTTCATCCATTTAAGAGTGTTGTATATATTTTAATTTTTTTTTTTTTGGTCCGGTCATGGGGCCTGAACTCTGGGCCTGGGCGCTGTCCCTCAGCTCTTCAGCTCAAGGCTAACACTCTACGACTTGAGCCACAGCGCCACTTCCGGCTTTTTTTCCTGCTTATATGGTGCTGAGGATTCGAACCCAGGGCCTCATGCATGCAAGGCAAGCGCTCTACCACTGAGCCACCTTCCCAGCCCTATATTTAAATTTCTATATAATGTTTTGACATCTTCAAAGATCCTTTCTAAGAGAGACTGCCCTTCTCAAGGCTAGCCAGTCAAGTGTTGTGGAGTAAGGCACAACTGTCAGAATAAGAATATTGCCTCAGGCTGGAATGTGGCTTAATGGTAGAGTGCTTGCCTAGCATGATTGAAGCCCTGGGTTCAATTCCTCAGTACCTGAAGCCCTGGGTTCAATTCCTCAGTACCACATAAACAAAAAAAAGCCTGAAGTGGTACTGTGGCTCAAGTGGTAGAGTGATAGCTTTAAGAAAAAGAAGCTCATGGGTCTGGGAAGGTGGCTCAATGGTAGAGTGCTTGCCTTGCATGCATGAGGCCCTGAGTTCTATTCCTCAGCACCACATAAGCAGAAAAAGCCAGAAGTGGCGCTATGGCTCAGGTGGTAGAGCGCTCGCCTTGAGCTGAAGAACTGAGGGATAATGCCCAGCCCAGAGTTCAAGCCCCACAACCAGCAAAAAAATAAAGAAAGAAAGAAAGAAAAAAAGGAAAGAAAGAAAAAGAAGCTCAGGGACAGTGTACAGGCCCTGAATTCAAGCCCCAGCACTGGCAAAAATAAAAAAATAAAAATAAAAAAAAGATTGCCTCCTGGGATAAAAGCAATATTCCTCCCCAACCCCCACCCCCACCCCCAATCATCCTAGGCAACTAGGGACCACTCAAAAGCTTAAAGCCAATCTTACAAACTCTGTTCAGTCTTTCCTTTTGCTTGGAACCCCAAATAGGCTCTGACCTATACTTTCCAGTTGCTACTATTCTACATGACCAAAATGTGATACCTCCCCTATGAGTCTCCAGGACCTGTGAGCACAAAGACTTTGTTTTCTTATTCCTGGCCTGTGTCTCTTCTTGTTGCTGCACCTGACTGAAAAGAACACAGAATAGCTACTGTCAAAATAAAACTCAAAGAACTGTCTTGTGCTACACTTGTATTTTTACATTTCTAGAAGGTGAGGCATTAGTGATCTTGATGGTAGTCTATGTCTGTAGCAGGCATACATTCCTGCAGGAAGATATACTTTGCAGGAAGAGGAGTTGTTGTTGTTGTTGTTTTGTTGTTGTTGTT